CCTCCTCCTCCTCCTCCTCCTCCTCCTCCTCCTCCTCCTCCTCCTCCTCCTCCTCCTCCTCCTCCTCCTCCTCCTCCTCCTCCTCCTCCTCCTCCTCCTCCTCCTCCTCCTCCTCCTCCTCCTCCTCCTCCTCCTCCTCCTCCTCCTCCTCCGCCTCCTCCTCCTCCTTTTGGAAAGCGACAAAGTCGAAAGATCCACCTTTGGTATCCGGCGCTTTTGCTATGCTGTATAGTTGAGTAGAATGCACATACCAAACTTCCCAGAAAAAAAAAAACATTTACATATTTGATTTCTCCCGTCCTTTTCTCTCGTGTGCCTGGAAGAAATCTCTCTTGCCTTAGCTTCTGCGAGAAAGGTAGGCATTCAGAGTGTGAAGAAGTGAGCTGATGTGTTGGGAAAAACGGAGTAGAAGGAGGAGGCGGCTAATTTCTAGGCCAGGGGAAGAAAACCATGCCAGTTTTTTACACTGATGAGATTGTGCTGTAGACGTCTGATAAATGCCAAGTGTGGTGCATGGTGGCATCCTCCATCTTTTGTAATAAAATCAGTGACTAGGCTGCTTACTGTCAGCCTTTCCCTCCATGTTAATTTTCCTAAGTAAATCGCGTTTTTTGCTCTTGTCTTTGGGTGGAATGCAGTAAAGTAAACCCCAGCTTCTTTGTTGACAATCTGATGCTGAGTATCAACCAAGTGGATTGTCAGTTTTGTGGTGCAGGGTTGAATTTTGGGAGAAAATCTGATGCCATCACAGTCTCCGACGCCTTTGACTAGAGCAAGTTACAGTAGCAGAAAATTTCCTCTCTTTTCCTAATTACATGCTAAGGGGTGTGCAGTACTTCGGTCCTCTCTGAAAGTGTCGTGAGGTACATATGTGTCCAGAGGGAAGTCAGTGAATCTTTACAGACACTCTTACGGCCTGTTAACGGAGGTGTCTTGCCCGAAGCCTCCGGCGTCTGAAGAGCCCGCACAGTTAAGCATGCAAACTTTAAAACATGCCGCTCTTCTACGAAAGTGGTCTATTTTTGTTGAGCTACTTTTAAAGAGGCGTGAAATTAAATGCTCTCACCTTGAACATGTTCAATTTATAAGTAGTATATTTTCTTCTTCAAGACAGAAGCAGACGTAGGCAGAAATCTAGCTTTCTTTCCATTTACTAAACCCTGTAAGGCACTCTACTTGTAATGCCTGCCTTTTTCCATGTTGTCCAAGAAGTGGGCTTTGCGCAGCCTTCTATGGCTCTCAGCATCAGGAAGTAATGCCTTTCTTTTTCTTCTTCCTCTTCTACTTTTTAATAGCCGCATACTCAAACCGTTGGAGGCATTATCTTACCCAGAGATGGCTCATTCGGGTCTACTTCTTTTCCGTCGCAAACAGATGCTCTCCCATCTTGTAACTTGCTGACATTTATGATTATCAAGCCAAAATTACAAAAATATTCCCTTAAATTGGGATTACTTTTTCTTTTTTGCGAGAGAGAAGACAGCCTCATTAGTAAGAAATTAGGAGGCAAAAGCTCATTACTTGGTGGAACGAGGAGGAATTGACACACGTCAATCAGGTAGCTCAAACGGTGTCTAGATTACCCTGTCTGGAGGCTGCTTTTTTTTCTTGCCCAAAATTTTGCTGCTAAAACTGGAGGTTAGGCAGCCTCCCTCGACCAAGTCAATTCAAATGTTTGCCTGAAGTCGAGTGCTTAAAGTTCAGGGCCTTCTGCCCACTGCAAATTAATCAAGTCGTGGAACATATCATCGGGGCTGGTCTCCCCTACCCTGGCCATGCTTGACTTGTTAACGAATTAGGAGAGTAGTTGCTCCACACATCCACTTTTTGTTAGAGTGGAGGTGGTGAAAAAAGTGCTTCGTCAACTGATATCTGTCAGTGTTCGTCTTGGAGGACCGAAATTCGCGGCATCTTTGAACATCTGGCGGGAGAGTGTTCCCACGACGTGTGTGGTGGGTGTGTGAGGCAGCGATCAGGTTTGGTGGGTGTCTACTCCCTTGAAAAAATTTTGTCCAATCACAAATCAGCAAATGTGACTTTAAAACCTTAGACATTTTCGGTTTCAAAGAGTCCATTTTTTTCCCATATTAAGTATATTCTTACCTACTCAGGAGTCAAACTTACGAATTTTTTGGCCTGTTTAATGATCAGATTTTCTTGCCTGAACACGCTGTCACGAATGTGTGACAGCTTGTTCTTCACTAGTTGCTCGGACTTAAAAAGTCTTCACTATGAATGTAAATTTTATTCCAAAGATCCAGTAACGAGTGAACTGGCAGCTGCTTCCCCTTGAAGGAGGGATGCAACCCACACCCACCCTCTACAGACGGGCAATGTCGGGCAATAAATTTAGTCCAGATTAGAAAACGCAATAAAAAAGTGGCCATCATCCAAGTGGGTCAGACAGTCAGACTCGCCTGTTGACCGAATGTAACCCAACTTGAAATTAAGTGGTCCTCTTCCGCGTTATCAATGAAGGATGTCCTCCTAGTGGCATGTAGTTTTGAATGTTTTAAGCTCGATCTGCTGTAAATGTTTTTACTCAGCTTGACGGGTTCCACTTTCTTGCTGTTGAAGTGTGGATCATGTGCTGAGTTCCAAAGGAAAGATATCACTTGGTGAAGTTTAATGGCTATGAAAAATCTCCCACTTATTGTATATGCTGGAGTAGTTATAATCAAGAAGAGGCTGCTAATTCTTGACGCAACCTTTTACTTTGCACATTACCACAAATGTTTTATTGTTCCAACTTGACATTAACTGCCACTGGTTCCTTCATCGACTGAAGCTTCCCTAAAAGTACTAGAAGTGGCTTTTCATTGACCAGAAAAACGTTGTGCATTTACCTTTAACTCAATTGGTCTGTGAAACATGGTTTGGAGTCACAGTTCATTGCAAACAGGTGAAGTTCATGTGTCGCATATGTGTGACGCCCAATCCCACCAACAACGACCTGTTACCATGACAAAGAATGGATTCATTTCTCCTCATACACTTCAGCTCAATATTGATAGCAAAATTTTCTTAAGTAATTCTGGTATCAATAAAAACGCAATTCATTCAGGAATAGAAACCTCGGGATCTACGTCACTCACTGCAACTATAAGGTCTCTTGTGGGCAATAAATAAGGGGAAGGGAAGGTTGGCGGGTGAGGGGAAGAAAGTAGGTACCTAAGCTGGACCTGAAATATCTCCATGCCATGTACATACGTTAAAATTGCGGCTCCGTACGGGTCGACGGACAGTGACTCATCCTGGCCTAGATTCACTCAGCAGCCTGGAAAGTACCGAATCGAGGAGAGGGCTGACTAGGCGACCTTCGTGGTATTGCAGAATGTGCCTCCGTGTCTATTTATTGCTCTTTCCCTTTCCTCGCAAAGACCTAATTTATGATCTTATTTCTGGGGTTTCCTTACTGCGTAGCACTTTTGCTCTCGGCGTCACATATATGTGACACAAATTTTGAGTTGGTTTATGGTCGCTGATTACACTGGTATAGGTTGCAATCTGGTTGGCGAATTGTGAAGCAGCAAAGCAGTTGCAGGATGCCCTTGATTTATTGGTGACTACATATTTCAGTTGGTCTTTTAAGAGTTTTCATTGTTGCTGCCATATTCGGATCATAAAGCGCCCGTGCTCTGGTGGATGGCTTTCTTCCAAGACCCTAAGGGAGAACAAAGTAAACCATTCCACTGACTTAGCTGTTAAAATACAGCTGTCAGCAATGACACTTAAATGACTCCTGATTTCTCCTTCCAATGGTAAGTCTGTACATTACAGAAATGGGGTTATTTCTGCCTGCCGGTGATACCGACAACTGCCTTTATCCTGTGAACTTGCAACTTTGGCGTGTTACAGTGTACTGTCTCACTATTTCCGCACAGCACTCGAGTTACTCACGAAATCATTTATGGCCTGCTAGTGTCCGAAAACCGCTGTTATTGATAGGCCACAGGGGTAGAACAGTTGACATAAGCAGACCCCGATGCCATGGCCTTAAAATCCGGCGCATGTAGCAAGCTGAGATTTTATAAACAAAACCACTCCGTTTTGAGGCCTCCTGCATCAACCCCCTTGACTGCTTTTCTGTGTCAGCCATCTGATCAACCGCCAGATCGGATAGTCGAGCCATGTTATGTAGGTTGGCTGGCTTGACTCAGTGATGGACAAGTGCTCCTCTTTTGTACCAAAGGAGGCAAATCCTGTCCTCCAGTCCACGAGTGCCTACTACTGGGATCGACCAGCCCTGAAAACAGCCACGCTCTGTTGTGCCACTTTGAGTGAACCCTGTCAGTGGGGGTGAATAACACCCCTTTGTTTTTTTCTGCCTTTCAGCAGGAACGCATCCGAAGGTGGTGAAGGCGCGAGCCACTGCCTCCTTCCACGGTGCTACTTGTAGAAGTCAGTCCCTCTGCTTCAACGAGGGAGATATAATTGGGGTAAGCTAAATGACCTCTAAAAACACCATAAACTTTTTGGCAGATAATGCGCATTCACTCTGGCCATCCCGTCATCCACAGTGGACACAAACGAGTTCTTGGTATTGTAGCGAGCCACTCTGTTGCCATCCTTAATGAGACTTTAAGCATTATGTGGCCCTTAGATTAAAGGAAAACCTAAACACGAAAGATGTCATGACATTATAAAATTTAGATAAGGGTACGTGCTGTGGAAATTCGCTGTGTCCAGCTTGACATTTCTGACAATACCTGATCATCTAAAACTGTTTACATTAAACACAGTAGAAACGTCATTTGCAGTGGTTGTAGCCCCTCTTCTGATCTTTAAAGCAGCAAATTTTACGATGCTATCTCAAAGTAGCTGTAGCTGATAAATGGCACTGTTTATGAAGTGTTTTGAATGGAGAGCACTCCAATTGAACCTACCACAAAAAATGACCAGTCGTCCATTCCCCTTTGCTCCTCGGTGGCGTTTATGTCAAGGTAGTGGGAGGAGTAGCAGGCATGCATGTTTCACCTCCTCCTTCTCCCTCCCTTCTACAGGTGTTCGCTGACTCCATGACCTCGAAGGAGGACTCGGCGTGGTGGCGCGGTTTCCGATTTGCCAATGGACCCTCAGGGGACATTGGGATGTTCCCCAGTTCCCATGTCACCCTCCTACCGCGACAACCGCCTCCTCCACCAGCCGCGCAGACTGGGAAACAAAAGAAAAAATCAGACTTTTCTGTGAGTTTTTTTAAGACTCAGTTTGGCTCAAATGCACCACCACTTGTAAAGCGGGGTTTTAGGGAGTTTCCGGGATGAGATTTTCCTTGACAGGTAATCTGAAAGTCAGTTGTACCTTCATGGGTGATTTGTGCCCTAATCCCCAAAAAAGGTGGCATTGCTGACATTTTCGTGTAGTCGTTGTCGAAGTAATAATCGTAAAATTTAAAATATGTTTTGCCTTCATTTCTTTGTCAAAAGTACTTCTGTACTTCCTTTAAAAATTACTAAATATTTGATGCCTCATTACACGTCAATCGGTGCTTTTCCGTCTAGATATTAAGAAATTATGCCGTGTCTTTTAAAACCCAAATTTTGTAGTTTTTATCCAAAAATTTCTCGCAAATATTCTTTTAAAAAACCTCTGTTGCGACGGTAGCCATAGTTAACGATGGTGGTAGTTGTGTTGGCTGTCAAGGTCTGAATCTCGGCCTCCCCTTAACCATGTTTTCCTCATCCGTAGTTCTGCCTTTGCCAAGTCTAGACTAGACGCTGGTGTCTGCACTTTGAAATGCCTCACTTTCTTCTTCTTACCCTGCCTTTGCTTTTCCAAAAGTAAACTTAAGAATGCTTTTTTTAGAGCCTAGGCAAAGAGCATTAATTTTTTGTGCAAACACATTACAGAAGAAGGTGTTAATGCTCTCTGCAGACAGCCGCCTTGGTTTGCAAGTCTTGCTAACCTTTACGGCTAAGGGTACCCGCAATTTGTTGCAGACCTTTCTTGGAGAGGAATATCACCGATCCCAACCAGTTGGCTCACAAGCAGTTACATTTAATGGGTGAAGGCTTTAATATTCCATCCTATAATCTCGTTCTATTTTGTTTTCCTTTCAACAAGAGAAGGAGGCAAGGCAGTGAGGAACCGCAAGGACTATAGGTCATTTAATGTGGGCGGTAGATTGTAGGGAGTCTTTTTTTATATCGAGCAAAAATGCGTATGGCAACATTAGACGTTGAGAATTTCCAATCGAGGGTTTAATGAGTGACATGATCCTGAAGGCGTTCAATCATTGGTCGCCAAGTGTTTGATGAAGAGAAATAGAGGTGTCGTATGGGTGAGTCTCGTTGTAACACTCCGATTTTTGATGAGAAGGATGCACTTCTCTTGACAACTCTAAATTTGCCAGACATTAAACCCTGTCAAAACTTTGTCAAACATTACATCACGCAAAACCTCAGTTGTCACGACCCTGCTAGTCTTCGTTTTGGATCAACAAGCTACACCATGCATTCCAAAATCTCACTTGTTAAAAATGTGGATTTGAAACTAGGTCGAGATGATTAATCAGATGGAATGTAGAAGGCAGGAGTTTGGCGGAACGCTGCACACTTAAACAAAGACGGGAAGTTGCTCCTACTACAAATCGTGATTTGACAATACCACGGGAAGCTAAAAGTTGGCCGGACTCCCAGGTAGATGTACTCTTGGCATTTGATGCCTCCGGGAGCAGTAAAAAGTGATGTCATTATTTAGGCTGACTTTAAATAGTTAAAGCCTCTCAGCATTTCGTCATTTTGCCCAATTTTTAGGCTCAAACTGATGTTGCATCGAGCTGCTCCTCCTCTACTGAAGACGATGGAGACGAAGAAACTGAAGGAGGCGGATCTTTGCTAAAAAAGGATGCAACAACTGTTGCCAGTGACAATGAAAAAGCTCCTCATGTTAATGAAGCAAAAGTGTTATGCGAGTTGGAGACACTAACAAACACCGTGCTTCCAGTGCCGCTGCGATCGTCGGCTGCAGGAAGGCAAAGTTCCACTTCCTCCTCCCCCTCCTCAACGACAATGACTGCCTCCACACCGACGTCTGGGCACATGAACATCCTGATGGATTCGAGCAATCGAAACAGCGCGACCAGCTTGGACAGCGGACGCGGTTCTGCCTACGCCACGAGCTCCGAAGGATCCAAAATGGTGATTCTCGTCTGATGTCATTCACAGAGCTAAATTTTCCTTTTAAGTTCTTCAGTCATCTACAATTAATTTGTTGCTTGCATAGAAGTAGCTATAATTCAAGGCGACAAGTTGTCTAAGAAATTATCCGGTGAGATGTACCTCAAGAACTGGGATAATCTCGGCTTAAAATTACGAATCTGGTGTTTGATTTACGCCAAAATCCAGAGGCGAATTCGACATTTACTCCTGTTAGGAGATTGCCAAATTTTTTCCTCCAGAAACCTAAAAACGCCTAATTGTCTGGATTTACTTGGCTCCGTGATTGTACTTTTCCCTGACGCCAGTCAGCTTAGCGTCAGTCTAGTGTCCCCCCGAAACACAAAACTTTTGTAAATTGCTTGTCTTACCTTTCACGGGTCTCCGCTTCATTCTGCATCAATTTCTACACAAATATGATGGGGAAGCATTCGACTGTTGCCTAGACACATTTAGAAAAGGAGAAAAAAAAACCTTTAAGTTTGTTTTAATTGGTGCGTGAAATGCGGTGTTATTGGCCATGCAGAAGTACACGGAAAAAGGGAGGCCCTGCTTTCCCGAATACCAATTTAAACCTTAGTTGACTGTTTTTGCAATAAGCCACAAGTTCTGTCACATTTGTTTGTTTTTCTTCCTCTTCATTTCTGGAATGTCTTCCGCAAGAACGCGGTTGGAAGTAGTTCTACTAATGTGGCAAACGCCTGCATGACTTTGCCTGTCACTGCAATACAAAAGTCAAGTGACAATTTTAAATAATTAGCAGGAAATAATAAAAATAATTTTCGCCTAACAGGTCACTTTTTTTGCCAGGACATGCAGTTTTCGCTTCCTTTTCTTTAAGTTGTATTTTCTCAACTGCTTGATGTGTTGGCTGATTAAAAAGCGTATCAATTATAATAATTTCCGTGTTGATGGGTAAAGCAGAGATCCTTTTAATGACAGTTTAGTGCATGATCATTTGTCAAGATTGCTTTTCGCCTTTCCTTGGGTCACTTTCTCTTTTGCCTAAAAAGTAAACAAGTGGGAGGTGCCTGAATGCAAGTGATTCTGCAGCTACTTTAGGCAACCTATTCACTTAGAAGAGGCAAAAGTAGAAGGGAAGAGGAAAGAAGCAAAAAATACACTTGTTTAATGTCAGACTGTTGCACTAATAGGCCTGGCAAAGATGTTGATGGAAGTGAGAAAATTACGGTTCAGTAAGTCTTGCTAAAGCGATCTCGCCACAAAATAATCGCTGCTGCTTGGACCCACTTTGGTGGCTGTGAACTATTCACGTCTAAATAATCAATCTATGCAAAATTTGCCATGTTTTTTGCAATAACGCACCTGGTTAAACATCAGCTATCCTTAGTAGATTATCGTGTCACCCGGTGGGTGTTGAGAACCTTGGTTAGTTGAATTAAAAGAACAACAAGCAGCCAAATGTATTTTAGTCGCTTGAATGGTTAAGTTAAAAGCAAGGATTAAAAAAGTTACAAAAACTGTGCAGATATAAAAATTTTTTGCCTTACTAAAAAAGGAAACGAAAATTAGTATAAAATGAGTTTGAATGAAAGTCTAATTTTAATTTTTATAATAATTTCTGAATACCCAAAAGCATTAATAATCATTTGCCGGACCTTTATTAAAGCCTCTTTTATAATAAGGACGAGAATATTTTTGAACCTTTAAAATTTGCATTTTAAAATGTAAAAGATTCCACTTGAGCAATTTGTAAATCCATTAACCAATGAAAAGGTTTGATGAGTGGATGTTGACCTTGACAGACCAATAATGTGCAAGCTAATTCAAGTTGTAATTATACACCTTTTTGGCCTGGTTTTTTGCAAAATAATTAAGCATTTACCATCACTACTATTTGAATACTATATAACTTACTAGCGTCTAGGTTAAAAGCTCATTTACCAATTTTCTCATACACTCGAGAATTTTATGTGGTTCATCTGGAGACTCGATTTTGAACCTTCTGAGTTATTATCTCCAGATTTTCCATTTTTAATGCTTTATTCGAACATCAGCAGAATCTACATGTATCAATCGCACGCACTTTTTAATAAATTGGATTTGTAGAACCAATGACTTACCTGATCTGTTTGAATCCCACTGACATCCAATCCACTTTGTGCTTCCTCCCCATTGTTGATGAGTTAAAAGGCTTGATCGGAAACCAAATCCTTGTCAAACTGAGAAAAAGAATACTTTGTCAATTAAATTGGACCTCTTATGAATAAATTTCGAATTACGGTGCTTTATAGTGCATACACATGAGCAGTCGCTGGAAACACCTTCCTATTCCCCACAGATTACAGTAAAGAATTGAAGGAAGGTTTACTAAAACCACCAAACATTTTTTCGGTCCATCAACACCATTTCTTTATAGCGCCTAAAGCTATCTACGGAAACACACTAAAATGGTACGGAATTTACTACCGATGCTTAAAAGTTCCAAAAGTTCCATGTAATAATGCCAGGGTGGAGAGTCCATGTAACTGGCTGTACAACTTATGCAAATATCCTTCTATTCCCAAACTTCTGCTCTCCTTTCAAGAGCTGGCACCGCGACCTCTTGCTGTTGTTGTTAACTTTGATGGATCTAGAGTCACGGCCTCTATGTGAAGTGGATTGTAGGGTATCACCAACAGATTAAAGATTAACAACGAGCACATTTCTGCCAGTCACTTTTACCCAAAGGCCCTCATTTTACCTCATCAAACTAATCACAAAGCCCTCTTCCCCTTGTCACTCTGTTCCCGCACTTCGTGGTATCAAGGCGTGTCGACCAAAAACGCAAGGGGATGTAAGAGCTCGCGTGGCAACTTTAACCCTCCACTAAAACGGTTCCTTTACAACAGGCAGTCGAGATTACTTCCCTTTTTATGGTAATACAGCGTCGAGTCGACATAAGTAGCCATAAATTTTTCCAAAAATTTGCCTTACGGCTAATTCTCTAAGGTGCTAGTCAAAGGTAAAAAAAGGCAATGTCTGAATGCATCCGACATTCCGTAAAAATATGCGTGCGTGTAGAAACGTTGGATGAATTTACAAGGTTTTCATCGAGTCAGCGACACGGCTGCGCGTCAGACGATGTTTCAGCAACAAATGTTGATTCTGCCCCTTTTCGGTAGCTTTTTTTTGACGCTGTTCATCGTTTACACATTAAGCTTTTTTGCCGTACTGTGAGAAAGAGAGGGGAGGAGAGAAAGAAAAATAAGGAACACCCTAACTGATGCATGTTGAAACGTCTGTCAAATCCTTTTTGAAGGCGGAGAAATGGGGGGTGATGATAGAGTAGCAGAAATCCAGTGAGTCATAGAGCAGATGGGGAAAATTTTAAGATTTGAAATTTCTGTCCTCCAAATGTGCGCCAACGCCTAGCGAAGGAGAGGCGCTTTTCAAACATTGTGGTTGATCGCATCAGTCGGTGTCCATCGTAGACTGCTCCTCCGAGTATCGCATGATGGAAAGTTTACTGTTCGTGGGCTGTTGGCACCACATAAGACTGCTATTTAAAAAAATCTACAACTTTTTAATGATCCCCGATAGAAAGTGAAGATCAAATTTTAAGCGCTTTCCCACCACTTAGCAATTCAGTCCACCTGACTGTCGAGAATCTGGACTTTATGGACTGCTCCAGTAAACCCACTCAGCTTTCAGTTTCAGAGGTCATTTCACGCCTCCTGTCCTCAGAGCTTTTATCACCTTTGCTTCCACACGATAAAATCTTGCTCCAAATTCCACTTTTATAACACAATTGCCTTCTGAAGGCAAGAAGAATATCATCTTACACAGCTGTCATCCCAATTCCCTTTAATTTTCCATTTGTTTAATCATGCAAGTGTTTAAGCCTCAAGGAAGGAGGAAAATAAGGAAGAAGTACGGCGTGTGAGGAAATAGATGAGGATATAGCAGTGCTCCCTTCCCTACTTTACTATTATCCAAAAAATTCCATTTACGTATAAACTATGTGGTCTTGCTTTGCCCTCCAAGACTATGACCAGGACTTCCTTCCCTCTTACTCAAGAGTTTTGCCTGGTTCTGAGGAAGAAGACATTTCTACATACCAAACAACGGGCACCAATTCGTGTCATATAGATAGGTCGGTGGATAGAGCCACTGCAGCCGAATTGTGTCTAGGACACATTACATCCGCATATTACATGCACGGTCTAGTGCGCATGGAGTGGTACGTGTCCCAGCCACAAGAGTATGCAGCAGTCAGGCAGTGAAGCATTGCATTCCATCCCAATAGTCGCCGGTATATTTATTCGCTAAGGAAGCGCTAAATTAGGGTTTAAAGGTCACTTCTCGTCACATCTCAATCGGTAGGTCAGTGAGATGTCAACCCATCCATCAGTGCGCCCTGCAGTATTACAAAGCATGTGAACAAAATGACGGAGAAAATGGCGGTCTCTGAAGGTGCCTGTCTGTCATCTGCTGCTAATGCTTGACATGACACGTAGCACTCAGCTGTTCAGTAGCTCCCACCACATTCCCGTCCGCGTTAATGTAGACGTGAACGGTCAGGCCCATTACCGCGGACGCCTGATATGACATGCAAACCTCCGGTTATTTGCATTGACAACAACTCCTACTCCCTCGTGCTTATCAAAAGCGAGACAATTTTCCCTCCGTTATCATTTAAAGCTGCATTCGTCTTCTACTAATTCATCACTTTCCATGGTTCAGATTACTTGGAACCTTTTCTAGAATATACTTCCTGCCATCAAATAAACTTCTAAATTTAGCAGTTGTAGTACTTTCCATTTCCTCAGATTTCGACGAGTACCTGTGCAACCTTTCCTCACCCCCACCAACACCTTCAACAGGTTTGCCCTACACAACCGCTATACATGAACCCTCGCGTGCCTCCATCCTGTCTCCATCGAATGACCTCAGTTACCTCCGCCTCCGCCACCGCTGCCACCCCTAGCCATCCCAGAGGGGGATATCGAGCGGCCTCGGTACAACCCTGCGCCTCTTCTACCTGCTCTTCTGCCTCCTCCGCCTCGTCCGCCTCGTCGGGCGCGTCCTCGTGCAGCTCCTGTGCTGCTGCCGTCTCCTCTGTAAGCAGTGGCACCAGCAGCTGCGATCGATCTCCTGTTGAACTGCTCGTCAATTGGTTGCTCTCAGCGGGATTCTCTGAGTACGCAGTCATTCGTTTACAAAGACGGGGAAAATCATGCATAATATGCTCCTGAAATGGTGGAATTAATAAGCTTTTGACAAAATCCTTTGATATTACAATTCTGATTGATGTGTTTTAAGCAAACGTGGATAAACTAATCACCTTAAAAACATTAATTGGAGTTAAGATTTGGAAGTGTGGTGGGCTGTTAGTGGTCGGAATGGAAGTAAATCCATCTGTCTCACCGGTCAACACCCACTTTGTCGTCCACGTATTCAGTTATCTATCGTTCCATTCAGGATCACCCATCTGTCTGTCTTACCATCTTTCTATCAATATTCTTATTCATCCCTGATATCTACGTCTACTTGGGGATTCATCTATCTGCTCGAATTTTGTCTTCCCTTCCATCTGTCGATCCATCGTGGATCTGTTTATTTGATCTTCACCTATTTATGCCTTCACTCATCCATTTATCTGCCTGTCATCAATCACTCCAATTGCTCATTCAGTCATCTATGCATTCACTTACGCAGTCATCAACCTTCCCATCCACTAGGGTTAAGATTATCGAGGATGAATGTCTTCGTGCAACCTAAAGCGGAGGCAGATACATCTACACAAACTAACATTGAGGCATTTAAGGTAACTTTGTGGAATTAAAAAGTCAAAGCCTCGTGCTGAAGAGCGTTTAAGGAGACACTCTTTGATCAACCTGTGTAACGCAAATTTATGCCACTTTGTTTATCACAATATCTACTTCGACACACTGATTGGAAAAAGTGAATGGGTGAGAAACGTATCTACTCGACCCTAGCTCTTCTCCGCTAATCGCTTTGCGGCTTATTCCAACTTCCAGTTACACCCCGTGCCTAGTTGCTGCGGGCTACGATTTGAGCACGCTGCGACGCGCCACGCCAGAGGACTTGAACGCTTGTGGAGTGACAAATCCCAGAGACCGACAACAGCTGCGAGCACGTCTGAGTAGACTACAGCTTCCTGAAAACCTACCTGATCATATCCCGGTAAGATGTACTGCGTTTCTGGGTAAATACGATTTTATAACTTAATCCAATAGAGGGTAGGTTCAACTCCAAACAGGACCTCTAGGTTTACAAAAGACAAAAATACAAATCTTAAGGACTGCAGCAAGCTTTTTTATCAACCCAGGCTTCTGGCTCACTTAAACACGTAATCTAGCATTTAAAAGATACACAAAGCACTTCACAGTGAAAAGATTCCTAAACCATCTCCATCGCCACAATTGCGAGAAATTTCGGGCGATTCTAAATCCCCCTCCCATCACCGCACTAATGCTCCTTTTGACTTCGGTGTGTTTCGATGTCAAGTTGTGCCTTTTGTGAAAACATCTGCTATCAGAAGAGAATAAGAATCAGAGCGAAGTGGAAATTTATTTTGTGTCACGTATTTCGGTGTGTCGGTAAGCTGCGGAGAAAATTTTATTAAACTAATTCTTTTTCTCCTTCCTTTAAAGTCGCCCGAGTGATGCCGGTAATTAATCGCTGCGTCATTTGATTTAAAGCGTGCCACTAATCACAGCCTAACCTTTAGGTTGAGTGAATTTGAATTAAAAAAACAGATTTACCATAATTGTCGGTCAGTTGTTTTTATTGACAAAACAATTTGAATGCTGCTTTGTTGTTTCCGCTTCTTTTTTGACCCCAAATAAACACCTGGTAGATATTTGTACTCCCTGTTTTAATTCTTTTCCATCCCACCCTTATTTCGGGAAAAAATGATAGGATTTTTTTTGCTTAGGCGAGTTTTAAAATTCCTGTGCGATTGTCATGTTTAATTAATTACGTTCGATGCTGACCTCGGGCGTTATGAGAGAGAGAGAGAGAGACTGAGGCAGTACAACCGCACCTCCCGACTGCCCCACTAACAGTCGCGGGGGTACCTCGCACGCCCGCTCACGGCTCGTCCGTGCGTGATGCGCAAGTTATTCGAGAACAGGAAGTGGGTTATTCCAAGGGGAAAATTGCCTTGCAGCCAAATTGGGTGCATAAATCGAGGCGGAGACATAACGAGCAGCCACTCCACGGAAGCGACACTGGCGTTTATTTAAGCCCTTAACTGGCTGTGTTGTAAGGCTGCTAATAGCTAAAGACATCGAGGGGGCGAGCCGTAGGGTCTTATGGCCGTGCTTGTTGATAGCTCTCGCATCAACGCTGCAAACGTGACTATCAAAGGAACCTCAACTGAGGCAAACATGGGAGCCGACAAGCCCCGGATTCTTCACTCCTGGATTGTGAAGGCTGTATAAAAGTGTACTTCACTTCCTGGTCTTGTCCAATACGAAACTAGTCTTACCCCTACCGTGTACTTGACATTTTGGGTGGGGCTAAGCAGCCTCTCACAAGTTGGTCTCTGTCGGTTTTCGTCATTTGATAACCCTAACTTGCTCGCCACATTTGACACGTCTGACAGTGTCCGGGCTACGCGAAAATACGCACTACCGAATTTTTGAGGATCTTATAGGCTGCTTCAAATGGGAGAAGAAATTGCAAATCTCTTTTCCAAGAAAGGTTAAATCAGGGGACAATATGGCACACCTCATATTTGGAACAGCCTTCATGGAATGATTTTGAACTCTAAAAGGATATATCTATTTTTTTTGTCAGGAAATTGGTGTGTTTGAGGTCTTTAGGGAAAAAAAGTAGGCAACGCCATAGGAAAATATTGTCGAAAGCAGTCTATCGGTGTACCCTTGTATCCAACTTCACCCTCCGACCAACTACAACAGTTGAAGGTGTAATATTACTTCCTTTTTGTTTTTCTCTCCGCATAACTAGAAACTGATTTTTATTTTTAATTCTTTTTATAAATTCTCCCTAATTGTCCCCTAACTTTTTGGGGAAAGTTCGTTACAAGTTGACTGTAAGGATAAGAAAAAGCAATTTTTCACTTTCCTTTTTCCTTGTTAATTTCCTTGTTTATTTTTTGTGATCATGAATGATAATTTCTTCCACAAAAAGGTAATTTCCTTGGGTCCACAGGATGTGTCACATATATGTGACGCGTGTCTCATTTACAGTATGATGGATAACTAGATAGCTTAAATAGTTTAAATCACAGAACATAAGTAAGTATAATATTCTTAGTCGAAGAAAAAGTGCACTATCTGATTTTGGGCCTGTGCAATTTTAAATTAAATGTGTCTTTGGTGACCTGTAAAAGTCGACTTCCCAGTGAGTTCTAGACCGAGTCCTTCAGCCTAACAAGAGGGATGAACATGATACTTCTACAATGTGAAGATTGATGGTGGTTTAAAGGTAAAAGACACCGACCTCGCCCCCCTCGTCCGCCACTACCATTGCTCCTCTTTCATGACTCACCCGGTTTGCGTTCTATCCTCCCCCTCCTAATTAATGTCCGCGTTGTGGGCGAAGTGGAGAATGGGAAAGGCAAGAGCTGGCAAAAAAACTAGTCTCCCCGTTGATTTTGTCCCTGTTCCTGCCACCTTCTGGCACATTGCGGACATTAACCTCCCAAAAGATCATAACGATCACCTCCATCTTTGCTTCCCGGATGTGAATGTGAAGGGCTCTTGACAAAAAACCTCCTTTTACGTTTTGCGGACCGGAGCACAAAAAAGTTATTCGAAAAAGAGGAAGATTATAACAAAATAGGTGATTGCGATGCTAGAATGGCTCCAAACATTACTGGTTGAGAGGTCGTAGGAAAACGCAAAGCATT